ATACTTGGGGTTCTCTTTGATGACCTCAACCACTCGCTCTTCCGCGGCTTGTTCTTCCATCCTGTGCGAGACCTGCAGCCTGAGTTCAATTTTCTTGTGCAAATTTACTAGCCTCTGTCTTCTCGTATCACTAGTGGATTCAGCTATTTGTTTATTTAATCGCTTGCGTTTTCTCATAAGGATTCGTCTGTCTCTCGGAATGCTGCGGACTTTAGGCCCTGTTTTTCTTGGTGTATGACGCACACATACCTGTGCTAGTTTCTCACACAGTTTTGTGTAGATTTTCTCTGCATTCATCTCGTGAAACTCCGCTCTCCAATCGATTTCGTCAATTTCATTCCAAATTGCCCCCCAATCCGTTCTTCGATTGCGAAAGTTAAGTCCTGCCAGTCCCTCTTGGGGTATAGACGATAGAACACTTTTCATATATAACATGAAAAGTGAAGACGATATCAGCATCGATAAGTTTATCGCGCAGCAACAACGAACTTACGAGGAACTTCAGGAACTTGCGGATGTTTTGAGGACTGAAACCAGCGGCACCGAGAACAAGAAGTCGTCATTTGTGAATGTGGTCGAGGACCTGATGACTTATCGGCGGTGCATCGTAGAAGGTGGCGAGCTTGCCTCATCCAGCGTTGACACTACTACACGGGTCGTAACATATTCAATTATTTTGAAATTGGAATTTCAGACATTCAACTTCATGTTACAAACATCCCTCGTATAGTCCTAAATTTGTAATAATTTGTAAATTACTGATTCGTTCACTCAATCAATGCCATTATTTGGGAAATTATTTCAGTATTCAATTCTTCAGCTTCAGAGAGAAAGGGCCCGCCATGTTGCCTTAAGGGGAGCGTCTAGGGTAAAATTTATCTCGGCTATTTACAAACGGATCACTCTGAAACTTGGTACACATATGTAAAACAGAAATCTAAGACTTAGATGCAAGGACGATTGATAAGAAAGTGGGAAAAGTGATAAGTTTACCGAGTGATCGTTAATAGAATAGAATAGAATAGAGGAGTCAGCACTGTAGAAATAGGCCCATGGTTTGTTGCCGATTCTTATACTTTTCGTGACATGATTCACAAGGGATCCGGCCTTTGGAACCCGATCTTTCCATAACTGACGATTGCTTGAGATAGCTGCTGGAGTTATTACAAGGTCCGTAAGGTCTGTTAAAGGGAAGGAAGCGGTAGGAGAGAAGGCGAAGATGATGAAGAGAAGAGTTGCCGAGTGAAATAGAAATGGGGGAGTGCATAAGGACCGCCTGGTACATGAAATAGATATTCGTGGGGCGAGTCAAGTAATGGGAGGTTACGTAGAGTTATTAGTCTGAAAAATTACTTATTGCCTCACCAGTTCTGGGCGGCCTGTATAATGTATATTGTTCGCTGCAGGCAGATTACACAAATTCATCGATGTATGCGATGCAGTTCGTTGATACTGGCTATGTTTTGTCCGTCAGAGACTTAATCCCCTCCTCCTATTTCAGTAGTTAGGCCACAGCCTCCACGGCCCTCCCCTAATCCCTTACATTCTCCCCGGCCCTTCATCTCTCTATTACATTCTCCCTATCGTCCTTCAACCCTCCTCTCAATTCTCCAGCCCTTCTACTCCATCCATTCCACTCTCTCCATCCTTCTCTTCCCTCCTTCCTTCTCTAACTCTCCATCTCAGCACCCTACCTCCCTCCTTCTCCTCCCTCATTCTTTTCCCTCTATTTTCCCTCCCCATCCCTTCTCAACTCTTCAGCCCTCATACTTTTCCCCCTTAGTCCTCCTCCTTTTATGCCCCTCTCACTGATGTCCCCCTACCTTCCTCTAAACACCCCATCTCCCCCTCCTCTCCCTCAAGAGAGCGAGGGGTGCGGCACCCCCCGCCCCCGTTTCGTCGGTAATTGTCTGGCCAGAACAACACAGCCAGAGATGAGTTGGAAGTCCTCGGAAATTGGCAATAATCCGCGCAGTGTCGGACCGTCCGGTAGCGGGGGCGGCGACCCCTGAGGAGGAGGAGGAGGAGGGGAAGGGATCAGTGAGGGGTGGGTATCAAAGAGAGTTAGGGCAGGTGGGAGGATGAGAAAAAGGAGGTTGGGGAGGAAGGTTATGAAGAAGAAAAAGAAAGTTAAGGAGAAGTAGAGGGTTGAGGAAGAAGGTTTTGAAAAAAAGTTGGAAGTTCAGAGAAGTTTAAAATTGACGCATGGGGCTATTGGGGAAGAATGCAGGGTGGAAGCGGGAGCTTTGGCAAGGATAGAGTTTTAGAGGAGAAATTTCAGGCAAATAGAATTTTGTGGCATAAATTTGAGGATTTATTGGTTCAAAATGATGAGGCGTGGTATGGGGAAAGGTTTTGGGGAGGACAAAGCTTAGGAAAAAGTGGGATTTCGGTGGAGATCGTTTTAAGAGGTATGAAAGGGGAACTACGGTGAAGAAGTTTAGTAAAAAGAGGAGGTGTGGAGTTAAGGAATCTTATCTGAGGTCAAGGAGGCGGTAAAGCGCGATAACTAAAGAAGGGGGGGGTGGGGTCGAGGGTAAAGACATCTGATAAGCAAAAGCAATGATCATGGCGTGTAAATGATAATCATTTGCTGCAACGTTCGTCTGTTGTAACGCGGTCGTCTGTTGTAGCGGTCGTCTGTTGTAACGGTCGTCTGTTGTAACGGTCGTCTGTTGTGACGGTCGTCTGTTGTAACGGTCGTCTGTTGTAACGGTCGCCTGTTGTAACGATCGCCTGTTGTAACGGTCGTCAGTTGTAACGGTCGTCTGTTGTAACGGTCGTCTGTTGTAACAGTCGTATGTTGCAACGATCGTCTGTTGTAACGATCGCCTGTTGTGTTTACTGCGACCAGACGACGGACGGCGGCGGCTGGACGGTCTTCCTGCGGCGCCAGAAGCAGGAGCCTCAACTCAACTTCAGTCGAACCTTCAATGAATACGAAGAAGGATTCGGCAGTCCCGCTGGCGAATACTGGCTGGGTAACACTGGGTTCACGTTTACTAAGGTTTATTGTGTTATTCGAAGTGGGGAAATTTTTTGTATGGACGGTCAAGTTGCAATTTTTTTTCTAATGTTGATTTCCGCTCTTATTGAAAGTTTTAATATATTCGATTTGAGATTAACCGGCTCTGAACATGAACCTTGAGATTCTCGTTTCCAGAAATGTAAATCCGTTTCCGGCTCTGAACATGAAACTTGTAGATCCTCGTTTCCAATTAACGCATACATGGATAACAAAGCTGTCAAATTTTATAATACTGACTCTGATGATCAGGCCTGGAGAACTTGCATCTCCTGACGACCAGGAAGATGGTGGAGATGAAGGCCGTGATCGTCCGAGGAGTAAAACGCACCAGCGCCCGCTACCTGGACTTCAAGTGAGACATGCCCCCGTAGTTGTAGCTTAGAGGGAGTGTTGAGGAACAGAGGGAGTGTTCGGGTACAGAGGGAGTGTTGTGGTACAGAGGGAGTGTTCGGGTACAGAGGGAGTGTTGGGGTACACAGGGAGTGTTGGGGTACAGAGGGAGTGTTGGGGTACAGAGGGAGTGTTGGGGTACAGAGGGAGGGTTGGGGTACAGAGGGAGTGTTGGGG